CCACTGCAGACATGTTTCTGCACTGTTAAGGCATCCTTGTTTAAAAAAAAAAAAATGTTGGTTTCTTAGGAAGCCATTTGTTTCCAGAATTTCTGAAAGAGGATTTATTTTAAAAAAATAAAATGGATGGAAGCTTGTAGAAGTGTTTCAAGAAACCAACTGAGCGATGTCTATTTTAATTCTCAAATAGCTTAGGATTTAATTAGCAAATACCATAGTGGATCTTGTAGTGAACTGCCAAGATCTCCCATTCAGGATCTTGGCACCTGCTCTTCCAGTGTGTTAGCTCCTGATGGCTCTCAACTGAACCCCTTCCTTGGAATTGCTTTTGGGTAAAGCTTTTTGCTCAAGGTCATGCTTCCTCACTGGGATTGCCTACACCCAGTGACTGCTTAATGTGAAGGTACAGTGGTCCAGCCCCTTTGCCTAGATTTGTGTCAATTCTGTAGGGCCATTCTGGTTCTAGAGCTCCCTGTGGGGTCTGCTAAGGCCTCAGGTGCAATTGCAGTTACATCACACTTCATCACTCTCTCTTCTCAACCCAGCTTATTTCTTTCCCTTTCAATCAGAGCCCCCTCCCCAAACCTGATGCATGTAAATCTCCAACCCTGAGTCTGTTTCCTGGGGGAACATATTTAACATAAAAGGGAACTAAAAATCCAAAACTGGCTGCCCAGAAATTCTCGCACAGAACTGGAAAAGTTCCATCATTGAAAAGTCCCGTGCCCTAACCAGTTTGGCTCAGTGGATAGAGCGTCAGCCTGCGGACTCAAGGGTCCCAGGTTTGATTCCGGTCAAGGGCATGTACCTTGGTTGCAGGCACATCCCCAGTTAGGGGGTGTGCAGGAGGCAGCTGATCGATGTTTCTCTCTCATCGATGTTTCTAACTCTCTATCCCTCTCCCTTCCTCTCTGTAAAAAATCAATAAAATATATTTTAAAAAAAGAAAAAAGAAAAAAAGAAAAGTCCCATGACTCTTGCCCAGTGTACACAGTGGGTCGTTTGCTGAATTGGTGGGGAGAAGAGTCCCATAACAGAACTAGTTTCTCCCTTGGACAGGAAGATGGATCAAGGCTAGAGAGCTGCAAGAGCTAAGAATGGCTAACATATCAGTTTACCTAGTGTAATTAGTAACTAATGATCAATTGATGGTTTTGTTATTTTAATACAAATTTATAATTTTATGGAAAAAATTAAGTGTTTGAAATCCTCTTTTGTTATGTGAGAAAAAAGCCTGTCTGTATGGACTATGAAGCTGTAAGTCACACTTGTCTATTCAACTAGTTGTCACATAAATTTAAGTCATAGGTTCAAGGAGGGAATTTTATTGTAATTTCTGGTTTTGCTAATGAAACCCATGAATTATAATTTCAAAATACCTTACTCCTTAAGTCTAAATTCCTCTGTCATGCTCTCTGCAAAATGGCTCCAGCATCCCTAGTATCTCCCAACACCAAGTTCACATTTCCCTCCCTACCTTTCACCTCACTGTTCATTCTGCCATTGTCATCCTCACTCACCAAATCCTACCCAACTTTGAAAAGTCTGATCCTCTTCCATGAAGTTGTCCTTGTCTGGGTCCACCTTTGGTAATCCCTTCCTACCCTAATTCCTATTGCCCTGGTTTCTACAGTGTATCTCATTATTGTTTAGCATAGGGTTAGGCACATGTAGCTGCTCCATAAGTACTATTAATATCATTATCTACACTAATAAAAGAGAAACATGGTAATTAGCGTATGACCGCTACCCTTTTCATTGGCTAATCAGTGAGTATATGCAAATTAACTGACAGCCAAGATGGCGGCC